GTGAAGGCACAGCAGGAAGTCCGCCATCTACAATTTGGAGGCACACCCTCATCAGAACCCAATCGTGCTAGCATCCTCCTTTTAGACTTCCCAGACTCCAGATCTGTGAGAAATAAATTTCTGTTGTTTCTAGGCCAACCAGTATATGGCATTTGTTATAGCAGCCCAAACAGACTAAGATAATTTCTAAATACCATTCTCCAATAAAAGGAACCAGGGTTCTCAAGAAAAATGGCAGGAAAATTACAAGATGAGCTTCAAATATCTTTTTCCAGAAGGTAAGGAAGTGTACAAAGAAGACAGGAACACTAGCCAAGTTGGGGACAATTTGATGAAAACAGATTAGAAGTCAATGAATAAAACAGACTTCCATGAGTTCAGACTAATATAAATGAAAGAGTTAATTAATTGATTAAGGAAAAGAGAAACTTTTCCTTACAGAACAATGCAAACTAATAAATGTTGAATGAATGAATAAATTATAATTAAAATCATTGTCTGGCAAGGATTATGATGATATTAATTCAGACAAGAAATGTCGATAGACACTAAAACTAATGGGTGAATGTTCAAAGCAGAATGGGATATTTAAACAGTTTTAAAGTACCTCCCACAAAATACCTACTAATCATAAAGGGAATAAGAATAAATAAAGAAGACTGACAGATAACTCTTAATTAAGTGATCAAAGTGAACATCACCGCTAATAAAACAGATTGAAATTGGGCACCACCTATAGGATGCACTGGGAAGACCATAGCATCACTTCTGTGATATTGCTGCCAAAAACAAAAAGCATTACCTAAATCTAATTCTGAGAAATCACCGAACAAACTCAAATAGAGGAACATTCCACAAAACAACTGTAATTATTTGAAGTGTCAAGGTCATGAAAATCAAGGAAAGACTGAGAAACTCTCCCACTGTGAAGAAGATTAAAGAGATAGGACAAAATGCAATACTTGCTCCTGGACTTCTGCAATAAACACATTTATTGGGACAGTAGGTGAAACTTGAATGGTGTCTGCATATTAGATGTTAATAATGTATCAATGCTACTTTCCTGATTACAATGGATCTATTATTCTTATGTAGAAGAATGTTCTTGTGTGCAGAAATTACATACTAAAATATTGGGAGATGAAAGGCATGCAACAAAATGCCATCAACTTCCTCTCAAACAATTTAGGAAAAAAAGTTATTATACTACTCTTGTAAGTTTTCTTTAAGTTTGAAATTATTTCAAAATAAGAAAGCAAAATTAAGTGGAAAATCTGCAAACTTTTTCCAGTAAGGCCAAAGACTACAGAATTTAAAGCAGAACTATTGTGTATTCCTTAAAAGACATTTGCTTTCAGTGATTTGTAATCTTTTTTAAATCAAGTATTTTCTTTCTGGCATAAAAATATGACTCCCACACACAAAACTAACCTACAGTGTGAGGAGTGGGGACACTGGTTACCCCGGTGGGAGGATAGGTCTGAAGAGCATCTGCAGTTCTAGTATTATCTGTCTCCTGATCTAGGTGCTGGGGACATGGGTGTGTACTCTCTATGCATGTGTATACCCTTGAGGGGTACACACTTCCAATTTTTGCTGTTTTCTGTATAAATATTATACTTCAGAAAAACATAAATTTAAATGGGGAAAAAAGTCTTTGGTCTTTAGAAAAATCCACAATCCACTATAAACACAAGATGATAAGAATTTTGTCACAACTACATATCTGACACCCACAAATCAACAGTGAACCATCAAACTAACCTACAATTATGCTCCAAATTTGTAACTCAACAGGCATTCAAGAGAGAAGGTCATGCACTCGAATGTTTATAGCAGCACAGTTCACAATCGCAAAGTTGTGGAAACAACCCAGGTGCCCATCAATACATGACTGGATTAATAAAATGTGGTATATGTATACCATGGAGTGCTATTCAGCTTTAAGAAACAATGGTGATATAGCATCTCTTGTATTTTCCTGGATAGAGCTGGAACCCATTCTACTAAGTGAAGTATCTCAAGAATGGAAAAACAAGCACCACATGTACTCACCAGCAAATTGGTATTAACGGATCAACACCTAAATGGACATATAGAAGTACTATTTATCGGGTGTCGGGAGGGTGGGAGGGGGGACGAGGGGATGGGTATATACAAACACAATGAGTGAGATGTGCAACATCTGGGTGATGGTTATGCTTGAAGCTCTGACTCAAGGGGGGGGGCATGGGCAATATACATAACCTTAACATTTGTACCCTCATAATATGCTGAAATAAAAAAGAGAGAGAGAGAAGGTCACTGGAACAGTCAAACATACACACACACACACACACACACACACACACTCATCAGCTCTCCACATTATCTTCCCCTGCAAAAGTGGTAAGTGGGTATCAAGATCCAATTTTACTACCACTTATTACTGTCTCCCTCTAATAATGAGAGGAAACATTCAAAAGTTGTTTATTATAACAGTTGGTCAATATAAAGCCCCCAGTGATGCTTGAACAGTTATGAGCACATCTAAGTGAGCCCATGTGGTACAGTTCTTATGGATGGTGTGGTGTGAGACATGGGGAAAGAGCAGATTAGAATTCTAGTTACCTGCCCTTTATTAGATGTGTAGCATGCAAATATTTTGTCCCACTCTATAGATTGTCTTTTTGCTCTTATGATAGTTTCCTTGGCTGTACAGAGGCTTTTTCATTTGGTCAGGTCCCATTTATTTATTTTTGTTGCTGTGATTGCCTTTGGGGTCTTCTTCATAAATTCTTTGCCTAGGCCAATGTCTAGAAGAGATTTTCCAACATTTTCTTCTATAATTCTTATAGTTTCATGCCTTAGATTTAAGTCTGCTATCCACCATGAGTTGATTTTTGTGAAAGGGGAGAGATATGGATCCTGTTTCAGTATTCTACATGTGGCTATCCAATTTTCCCAGTACCATTTATTGAATAAAGTTTCTTTTCCCCAGTGTATGTTTTTGGCTACTTTGTGAAAGATTAGATGGCTATATGAGGATGGTTTTATATCTGGGTTCTCAGTTCTGTTCCATTGGTCTATATCTCTGTTCTTGTGCCAATATCATGCTGTTTTAGTTATTATAGCCTTGCAGTATAGCTATAATGTATATAGAACTCGAAAAATCGGCAAGAAAAAAATCAAACAGCCCTATTAAAAAGGGGGAAAACAACATGAACAGAAACTTTTCAAAAGAAGACAGACTAATGGCCAAAAATCATATGAAAAATGCTCAACATCTCTAATCATCAGGGAAATGCAAATCAAAATAACATATCACTTGACTCCAGTGAGAATGGCTTTTACCAAAACATCCAAAAACAATAAATGTTGGCATGGATGCAGAGAGATAGGAACACCCATACACTGCTCATGGGACTGCAAACTAGTACAACCTCTGTGAAAAGTAATATGTAGATGCCTCAAAGAGCTACAAGTAGAACTACTATTTGATCCAGCAATCTCATTACTGAGCATCTACCCAAAGAAAAAAAAAGACATTCTATAAAAAAGACATCTGCACTAAAATGTTTATAGCCGTACAGTTCTTAATTGCAAAGATATGAAAACAACCCAAGTGCCCATCAATACATGACTGGATTAATACAATGTGGGATATGTATACCATGGAGTACTACTCAGCCACAAAAAACACTGGTGATCTAGCACCTCTTGTATTATCCCGAACAGAGCTGGAGCCCATTCTACTAAGTAAAGTATCACAAGAATGGAAAAACAAGCACCACATGTACTCACCATCAAATTGGTACTAACTGATCAACACTTATGTGCACATACAGTAGTAACATTCATCGGGTGTCGTAAAGGGGGGAGAGAGAAAGAGGATGGGTGTATACACACCTAACGGGTGCAGTAGGCACCATCTGCTGGATGGACACACTTGAAGCTCTGACCTTGGCGGGGCAAAGGCAATATATGTAACCAAAACATTTGTACCCCCATAATATGCTGAAATTAAAAAAAGAGCAGATCAGAAGAGGGCTCATAGAGTCACAGCGTCCAGGTTATCACCCAAATGTCCATCACCTCCCACCTGCTGCCAATAAGAAGACCCTAGTGCTCCTTGGACTGAATCTCGGCCTATGACTCGCTTGAAGCCGTGTGCGTGCAGCTTTAACCACTTCCCTATGGCGCTCACCGGCCATGAAACCTCGCCCACAGGCGGCACTCACAGTCCGCTTGATGGTTGTGCTGCGCATTGACCAGGAATCTGGTCTGCTCTTGTGTGATGAGGAAAGCTTGAAAGCACTGAAAGCTTGTTTTACTTTATAGGCAGCTCTACTTGTCATGTAAATCAGAATAGGTAACATATACATATATGTTTTCATTACGTGATTTTAAATGTTCACAATTTTATTTTGATAAAGGAAAAATTAGAAAAGTCATATCACAGCTGTCGGCTAAAGTCGCTGTGCGCGCTCATCGGTGGCTGTCGACTATAGTCCACGGGTACCAAAGTGGATTAAACCTCGGTTTCGGTCGTTCTCCCGGTGTCCAGGAGCCAGACGACCCTGCACTCTGGAGCACCTGTGAGCCCCGGCCCTGCTTCCGCGAAGCCTGCGGCAGGACCCCGGACACCGCCACACCTGAGCCAGGGGGTTCCCTTCCCTGGCCGCCCCCTTACTATCCAAAGCTGGGCCCCCACTCTGGGGGCCACCCTGAGGTCTCCCGGGAACTACCTTCCCGTCCCTGCAGGCTGCGGCCACAAGAACCCGCCGGCGCGCAGCTCCCTGGGCCTGGGCGCAGAGCCCCCGGGCGCGACCCCACGCGGCGCCCGGCCCAGACAGCCCCGCAGCCAGGGCACAGCTGCGCCGCCGGCGCCCGCTCGGAGGAGCCCTGCCCGCGCCCGCCCGCAGCGTGTCTGGCGGCCGGGACGCCTCGCCTGGGCGCCGGGGCTGGAGCCGACCGAGCGCAGCGCTGCTTCGGGGCGCCACTCGCCGCCCGCCCGAGGACCCGCCGGCTGGTGCCCCCGAGCGCCGCGCCCGCGCGCGCCGGCCTCGCTGGGCTCCCGGACGGCAGGAGCTTTCTCCGAGCCCTTCTCCCGACCCTGGGCTCCAGGCTATCGTCCCGCGGCCTCTGCCTGTGCTCAGCCGCCACCCGGGTGCTGTGGCTGCGGAGGGCATTTTCCTGTTTGGTCGGCTCTCCCAGCAAAATGGTGTGCAGAGGCGAAACTTGGAGAGAAGAAAAAACCCGAAAAACCCAGTGTCCTGGAACTGACCACAGCAGGATGGAAGGCAGGGTCCTGCGGTAAAACCCAAGGGATCGCAGCCCCACCAGGGAGACATGTACCCGGCCTGGACTGGTCCTTGAGGTATTGTTTTTTCCCCTTTCATAAAGGTCTCTCATGCTCCTTTCTTTGACAGGAAAGACTTTGGGGAAGTCCCTCTGATTTCCCCCTGCTGGCGTTGGTCCACCTTGGCCTCTTGATGTGTGTGGACTTCCTGAAGTGTCTGTTGCTGTAGACCAGGCATCTCACTTTATCCAGGGCCAAATACAGAGAAGAAAGCACCTACCCACCTGAGACAGGCTCGGTTTACCCTCGGCCTAAGGCAGAGGGATGTCACCCTTTGCCCGACTGGTAACAGGGGCGAGGGAGGGGGAAGGTTCCGTCCAGGAGAGCTGGGTTTTATAATAGCTGTGGTCCCGGTTTAGCTGGGGTTCTGCCCTAGCTTTGTGATGACAAGCAAATTATTTGTCATGTCCTCACCTTAGTTTCCTTACCTGGAATATAAGAATGTGCTTTAAATAATTTCCAAAATCCTCTAGAATATAAATTCCATGAGGGTGTCACTTTGCAGAGCAAGTGCTCAGTGAATAGTTGATCAAAGAATAGTTAAATGACTCTTTCCAAAAGTCTATGGCCCCACACCAGCCTCTTGGCTGCATCTGATTTTAGCCACAACCACAGTGGATAGTTCCTGGGAAGCTCAGACTCACCTCGCTGTGACATTGCCCCACCTCAAAGCAATCTTTCTGCTTTCTGACTTCATTTCTAGCTCAGCTTCACCTCCCCACACCCTCAAACGCAACAAAAACAGGGAACCATTTACTTCTACCTCCCTCAAAAGTCATTAACTTGTTCATGATCTCAGACTGAGCAAAGATCTCCTAAACAGAATAAGTTAAAAGCATTAATCATAGAAAACATTAATAACCTGAACTTACATTCCTAAAAACACATCATTAATAAAAAGGCAAATGATAGGCTAAGAGAATATACTTGCAGTATATGTGTCTAACAAAGGACTCATACGCAGAATAAAGACTATCTGCATGTCAATAGGAAAAAGACCAACAGCCCAATGTTTTCTAGAAATGGGAAAAAGCTGCAACAGCCACTTGACAAAACAGGATATCCAAATAGCCAATAAGCATATTTTTAAAAAAGTATTCAGCACTGTCAGTCATCAGGGAAATACAGATTAAAACCACAATATGATACCATGATATCCAATCAAAATGGCTAAAATTAAAGAGACTGACAATAATAAGTACAGGCAAGGATGTAAAGCAACTGTAAGTCTCATATATTGTCAACAGATGTGGTACAATCACTTAGGAAGACTATTGGCAGTATCTTTAAGGTTTTGTACTTTTTTCTGTGACCCAGAAGTTCTACTCCTGCTATATACACAAAGAAATGAGTGCTTATATCCACCCAGATACACACAGTAGTATACATAGCAGGATTATTTAACAGCCCTAAGCCAGAAACAACCCAAATGTCTATTAACAGTAGAATGGATGTGCAAAGGTGTGGTATAAATCATATAATGGGTTATCATGCAAGTGTGGAAAACAGTGAACTAATGCTATATAAAATAACATGGGTGAATCTCACAGACATAATGTTGAGCAAAAAAAGCCAGATAGCAAATGTTGCATACTCTATTATTCCATTTATATAGAGTTCAAAAAAGGGTAAAACTTCTATGTATGGTAATAAAAAGTAGGAATAATGATTGTCTTAGGGTAGAGTATCACAGAGGACTGCAGAGCCCAGGAGACTGCTGGGCTGCTGGAAATGTTCTGTGGCTTGATCTTAATGGTGTCCACGGCGCATGCAATGAATTTCATGTAAAATTCACTGAGCCGTATGCTTAAGATTTATGCACATTACTATATATAAATCATAATTCAATAAAACAAGGTGGGGGTGCAGTCCCTGGCTGTCTGAGGTCACATGCTCAGCCCTGCAGCCAAGGGAATACAGTGTGCTGATTGGCTGGGGCCTGCTCATATGGCCCACCCTTAGGGCTAAGGATGAAGCCCACCCAGACCAAGAACAGACAGAGGAGGGGCCCAAATGCAGTGCTCACTTTCCCAGCCTTCTTTGTAGCGTGGATGCAGACGGATGATCCAGGCCCTGCTGTGGAGACAGCACCACGCCAGAACTGCAGGGACACAAGGCAGCTCAGAGGGGAATCCGGTCCAGCAGTGCTGCTGCAGTCCGTGCTCAGTGTCGGGGAGCAAGCAGCAACAGCCAGCACCCAGCAGCAAGGCTCTGCAGACCCACACACCATTCTGTGGTGCGATATTTGGCCCTTTTGCCCAGCTATGAGGCAGCCCCAAACCTGCTTCTTCGTCCTTCCTGACAATCCTATGCCCCATTCTGTATCCTTTCAACAGTTCTGTTTTGGCCTAAATCAGCCAGAGTTCATTTATGCTACCAGGAACTCTAACTGATGATAGCATACTTCCAGAAAATTCCCTCTTTTCATTTGTACTAATTTGCAAGGTTTGCCTAAAGCCAAAGGAATGATTCTACTCTGTGAATTTTTCACACCATCATGTGGTCACAAGGAAGATATCTGGTGGCAAAAAGCTCTTATCACCCCACAAATCACATGACAGGAGGAGAGGGGAATAAACTAACCAATCCGTGTGAATTGCTGGTAGGTAGGTCCACAGCTTACATTACGTTTAGTTCTCACAGCAACCCATGAGATAGGTCTTGAATCAATGTGTTCAGTCTTCCATAACAGAGTACCACACCCTGGAGGGCCTAAACAACAGAAATTTATTTTCTCACAGTTCTGGAGCTAAGAAGTCCAAGATCAATGTGCCAGAAAATTCAGTTTCTGGTGAAGCCTCCCTTCCTGCCTTGCAGGCATTCACCACATCATGGGTCTCACATGGCCTTTCCTCTGTGCACACACACACACAGAGAAAGATCTCTGGTATCTCTTCCTCTTCTTACAGGAACACCAGACCTATCAGATTAGGTGCCCGCTTTATGACCTCACTTAACCTTAACTGCCTCCTTAGCGGTCCTGTCTCCAAGCACAGTCACACTGGAGATTAGGTCAGCAAATGAATTCCTGAGGAACACAACTCAGTCCATAATGGGTATTGTCCCAGTATTGCAGAAGAGAAACATGAGGATAAAATCCTTATCCAAGGTCTAAATAAAGCTTTTGTACTTTTCAGCCTCGCTTGTGGTAGAAAGTATCAAATCCTAGAAATTCAAGCTTCAAAGTACTAGAAGAAAAGTATATGGATGTCACCGAGTAATGAGAAATGAATGAACATGAGGTGAAGCCAGTGTGACTCTCCAAAGGTCAGTCCTGGAGCCAGCAGCTGGAATAGCCCAGACCTGCCCCCGGCGCCTCTCTGAGCTCCAGCCATGTCTGTGGACCACACGTCACTCCTGTCACCACTCTGTGCCCTGTGCCTGTGTTTGGGTCCTGACTCTCACACAGAGACTCCCTCCTTCATTAAACTTTAGTCAGGCTCCTTTAAGCCCTCTTCTTGACGAGGCTTCACCCTTAGTCAGTCGAGCCCAGTTCTAGCAATAAATCCTGCTTAAGCAGTTTATTGAGAATCTCCCAAGCCTTGATATCCAATCAAGCCCCTCCTTCTCTACCCTTGATAGCTAACCACGTTCCTCTTAATACGTTTTCATCCATGTCCCTGCCCATTGGCTATAAATCCCCACTTATCCCCGATGTATCTGGAGTTGAATTCCATCTTCTCACCTACTAATAATCTTGCCCCCATTGCAATAGTAATGAACAAAGTCTTCCTTGCCATTTTTAACAAGTGTCATAATAAGTTTCCTTTAACAGTTTATTAGGGACAAGACCACATCTCACATTTCTCTTTACATATTTCCATAGCATGTAGCCTATGGTTCAACTGGTGCTTGGTCAAGAGGCAAGTGAGTGGGTGGGTGGGTGGGTGAGGGAATGATACCAAAAAGCCCCATAGATGAGCTACGGAGAAAGCCCAAAAGCACTCATGAGGCTCAGAAGAGTGAACAGTAGGATCAGCTTTAGGAACAGGATGAAGGAGGGTAAAGGGAAGAAAACAGGGAGGGCTAGCATGTATGTCACATCAATCAGAACCAGCCTTACGCTGTCACTTTGGGACACTCCAGGAGCAAAGGGCCCCAACCTTTATGGCCTCGAGGAGGGCCGGGGGTCCCAGGGGCAGCATTTGGCAAGGGCACAAACACTGGATAATTACTCTGGCCCTGGCTTTGCTGCTCTTAATTGTGTGAGGTTAAGCAAATCAGCTAACCTCTGTGATGCTCGGTCTCTCCATGTGAAATGAAAGTAAAAATAGCTCCCTTGTAGGTGAAAGGTGAAAATGTATGTGAGAGAATTGGTTTTGTTTTTTTAGTAGTACTTAATATTTACTGAAAACAATGCAAATGCTTTTCCAGGTGGTATTAAGGAGCTGGGTTGAGTGCCTGTTTTTGTTTGTCTTCTTTACAGAATGTTTTATCCTAATGTACCATCTGTGGCACTGCTAACATTTTGAGAGAAAAATGACCGCTGTGCAAAGCTGGTGCACAGGAGAAAAGGAGTCTCATGATTTGAGCACCAGGTCTTACAGGCCGCTGCAGCAAACTGGTGGGGCAGGGGAGGGTCCTGGGAGTAGGCTGGGAGCTAACCAGCCTGAAAGATTGCCGCGTCAGTGGCTGGTGAGCTGTCTAAGCCAGCGTCCAAGGAGGTACATCCAGCTCAGGCACATTCCAGGTCCTCGTCTCCGAAGGCGAAGAAGTGGTGGGTGGTGGTGAAGTGGCAGCACAGGTCTCTGGGCAGACGGCGGCTGGGTGGCAGCAGCCCGGCTGGGGGTGGTCTGCCCGATATGTGACAGTGGCCTGGCCTCCTGCCGGGGCTCAGGACATAGTCCGAGTCTGCATAGGAAGGGTCCAGGGCTGGCCCGGGTAGGCAGCAGTGTGCTTCAGAGCAAAGCCCTGGCCCGGCTGCAGGCAACTGGAATTCCTAGAACAAAGTCAAGCATCATAGGGGGAAAGGGAGAAAACCAAAGGGCAGGGGACGGAGGGAACCAAAGGGCAGGGGACGGAGGGAACCAAAGGGCACCTCGCAGGCAGCATGTAGGGCCCACAGGTCTCCCAGCCTAGTAACCATCATCTTCATTGTCATGGCCAAAACACTGCTTCATTTCATTGAGGACATTACAAATGTTACTTTTAACATACACACACATTCCTGGCAGAAGGTAAGTAAGTATCCTCAGCAACCGTTTTATGAAACATCTTTTTTTTTTTTAAGACAGAGTCTCACTCTGTTGCCTGCGCTAGAGTGCTGTGACGTCAGCCTAGCTCACAGCAACCTCACACTCCTGGGCTCAAGGATCCTCCTGCCTCAGCCTCCCAGAGTGTTAGGATTACAGGCATGAGCCACCGCGCCCGGCCCTGAAACATCATTTAATCATCACAACACGGAGACTGTATTATTATCTCTATTTTACAGACAGGGTAATGTATACTCCTGGGGCAGCATTTCCCAAATTGTGTTCCATGGAATGCTAATCTTATACTGAGAAATAATCTCAGTGCTCAATTAAAAAAAAATTGTTTCTGTAGCCACATATGTTTCAGAAATAATGCAGAGGAGTGCGTTCATGAGCACAGCCCTAGGAGCCAGACAGACCTGGCTGGAGGCCAGGCTCTGCTGACCATTAGCCATGTGGCTTGAGCAAGTAATGACCCTAGTCTTCTCATCTGCTATATGGGAATAATGAAATACCTTCTTCGTAAGGTTGCTGTGAGGGTTGATATCATGAGATAACAAATATAAAGTTCTTAGCACAAACCCGGTACAAAGAAAATCCTAAATAAACAAGGGCTCTTATTGGCATTGTAGCAGGTTAAATATTGTTAACATCTTATAGCTGGACCTGCAATTCTTTGTAGGGAGAGATCAATTTTGTTTAGGAAAACATGGATAAACCAAGTAGAAACATGGGCAGAGATGAGACTGAAGTTATAAGGCATCAATAACTAAGACCAAACCCTGGAAAACCAAGTTGGAAAAAGCCAGAGTCCCACAGAGGGTGGGGGCTGATTTCTCACCTCGGCTGGTGTTATCAAAAAGAGGTCTGGTCACAGAGATAAGGTCTCACCTCACAGTCTTCACCTCCCCTTTTTTTTTTTTTTTTGGCACTACTGCACCTCTGTATACAGTCACAGTCACACTCACACACTCACATACTCACAAATGCACACATATAGCCCCCTTTTCAGGAAGAGGCTACAAGCTCCAACTGATTAGAAATCCCGCTAATCAAGTTTTCTTATTTCCTTCTCACCTCCTCAACTTTAAAGGAATGTGTTTCTGCCAAGTTTAAACTATTTGCAATGAGGTGTATTGCCCTTTTAACTAAGTGGGGGGGGGAGTCATTCTAGAAAAAACATTGAAGCCTCTGCTCAGTCATTCGGAGCTCCAGGAAGTCTTCCCTGGCCACCCCTAAGTTAGGAGCCCCTCTTCTGAGTCCCAGAGCACCCACTTCACACCTATGCTACAGAACACACTGCCAAGGATGGATATCATCCAAGGGGTTTGTGCCCATCGCCTTTCCAGGCATCCAGCTCAGCCCAGGTGTGCAGAGGGCCTGGCTTCCTCATCTAGGTGTTCCCAACGTCCACATCAGGGGCTGGCAGGCAGCAGAGCTATTGTTACTGAGCTGCCCCTGGCACCAATGAATCTGTGGCTGAATCTTCCCAGGGGAAAAGCGCTTGCTTGTCAAGGGATGGGCGGGGAGCCACAATGCTACCCCTGCTCTCTAGGAGGGGCGCTTATACGGTGTACCTTCCAAGGCCCAGAGTGGCATTCTTAATACATCCTGGAAATCCCCTGGTCTGGGGCTTTTGGGGGTGACATCCAGTATGTAAATACCAGTCTGGGGCCCTGCTGAGCTGCAGCGACAGTGCCATGTGTGAAAGTTCCGCTGGCAGCAGAGGGCTCTTTCATTAGTCATTTCAACGTACACAGCTGTCAGGAATCTGGTGAAGTTTGATTTGGCTGGGGGGAGTGCATTTTCCACTCATAGGCATCTTGAAAACTCACACACTTAAAAAAAATTAACAACAAGAAAATCATCATAGAAAACAGGAAGCCAGAAATTGAAGGCAGAGAGCTAGGGCAGCAAATGTAACGGAGGGTGTCCGAGACCCAGGCTCCCCCCAGAGCCCTGCCACTGACTTCCAGCTATGCGATGGCCTTGGCAAGCTTCACATGCAAATAGAGATCCTAATGCCTCCCAGAGGTAGTGGGTATGAAACGCTGGGCAGATGCCAGGCAGTATGCCAAGGCGAGGCATTGCTATAGTTTGAGTGTGTCCTTCAAATGTCATGTGCTGGGAATTTTAATCCCCAAATTCAAATATTGATGGCATTTGGAGATAGAACCTTTGGGAGGTCATTTGGATTAGATAAGGTCATCGGGGTGGGGCCCCCATGGTGGGACTGGTGGCTTTATAAGAAGAAGAACAGAGACCTGAGCTGACAGGTAGACTCTTGCCCTCTCATCTGGTGATGCCTTTTGTTGTGTTATGATGTAGCAAAAAGGCTTTCACCAGATGCCAGCGCTATGCTCTTGGACTTCCCAATCCCACCAACCCCAGAACTGTAAGAAATAAATTTTATTTTTCTTTTTTTTAGAAACAGGGTCTCACTCTGTCACCCAGGATGGAGTGCAGTGGCATAATCATAACTCACTATAACCTCAAACTCCTGGACTTAAGCAATTCTCCTGCCTTAGCCTCCTGAGTAGCTGAGATTACAGGCATGTGCCACCGTGTCCAGCTAATTTTTTTTATTTCTTATAGAAACAAGGTCTTGCTATGTTATCCAGGCTGGTCTCAAACTCCTGGCCTCAAGTGATCCTCCTGCCTTGAACTCCCAAAGTGCTGGGATTACAGGTGTGAGCCACAGTGCTCAGCCTATGTCTTTTCTTTATAAATTATCCAGCCTGTGGTATTCTGTTATAGCAACAGAAAATGGACAAAGATAGGCATGATTTGGGTTACAGAGAAGGAAAACTGAGAGGTCACAGAAGAAAGAGAAGGAATAGAAGTTGAGGGAGAAGCACTGAGGGAACCAGTTTCCACCCCTCCCTGCAGGACTTGGAAACACCAGTGGGGACAGAGGGGAGAACAAAGGAAGCAGCCCTTCTTGCCATGGTAGGGGCAGGTCAGAAGGGCAGGACTAGACTCTGCTAAGGTCCCTGCTATAATGGATTTATGGGCTTTTAAGATTTTTTGTAAAGTAGATTACTATGAATCCTAGAGCTGACTCTACTGGTAACTTTATCCTGGGCTCAGCCTTTCCCTGACTTTGACCCCAGTTTGTTCACACGTGAGATGAGAAGCTTTGACCCAAATGCAACTGTTTGCCTGTTGTTTGTTAGTGTCACTGTACTTCCTTTCCCCGATTTTTACCTAATGGCACACTTGTGCATTTAAAGCATGTTTCTTGAATGAGCTTCACGTGACAAGATGGAAGTAAAAACCGCATTTTTTGTCTCCTTTCTCCTTGTCCTTTCAAACCCATTCTCTGGATGTGCCCTGTCCCTGCCCTTTGGACGAAAGCTAAGACATACCACGAACTGTCTAGCCACTCTTAGCCACTAAACAGAAAGCCCCTTTGTCTTTGCCTTAAAAAAAAAAAAAAAATAGAAAGCAGCCAAGATAATCATCAGTATTCCACCGATCTAAAGCTTCTCCCCTCTCAGGCCTGTTCACTTCAGGCTTGGAAACCCACAGTGCGGAGCCGGAGGACATGGATTTCACCATTTTCCCGGCTCCACCTCCCCTAGCCAGCTGCTGATTCTCAAGCCCCCAGCTTTGGGAGACAGGGAATTGGGGGAAGGACACAGATGTCCATGGCTCTTCCGGCCCCGACACAGCCTCGGTGCCCTCTGGCGGAGTTCAAAGGCTGACTCCTCTAAGGCCCCGCGTAAGCACTCTGCAGTTGGAGCACACGGCCACCAGGTGGCAGGCAAGGCCCTCTCCTGGCCAGAAGCTCCTGCTACCACCTTTAACATGGCTGCGCAGTCTCTTCAAATGTGCTTTCCCTACGTTTCAAGACAAAGCAAAGAAAGTAAATGCCTAAAACCACAAAACGGTCAAGGTAGACAGCATGAACTAAATAGTATTTAACGATGGCAACCTAGGGAACAAATGCTTTTTGAAAACTTCCTAAGTGAAAGGGTGTGAAATTTGTACATGGGCAAAGAAAGATTTCTCACACAGAGATTAGGATATACAGAAGTAAAAGTTTATTTTGCCAAGGAAGGAAGGAAGGAAGGGAGGGAGGAAGGGAGGGAGGGAGAGAGTGAAAGAGGGATTGATCACAGCACACTGAGGAAGGAAGGAAGTGCCAGCCAGCTGAGGAAAAGCTGTTTGGAATTTTTAAAAGGTAAAAGTGGGGTTTTTTTCCCTCTGCTTCAGTAGACTGATAACAGAAGGGGGCTGCAAATTTGTTGGGGGTACTCTCTGCCCCCACCTCCCTCTTCTCTGTGAGGCCAGCTTATCTGAGTCCTTGAAATGTGCTTCTGGCAGGAACTAAGGTGGAGAGCTGGAGTGGGGAGCTTGTACCCCTATGTCTGTTTAGGGCTCTTCAAGACCGAGAAACAAGCTCTTAGAGATTAACAAGTTAGACCTTAGGCGTTTAATTAAAACAAAACAGAGGAGGCAGTTGTGTTGTGAGCTTTCTCTCTGAAGGGACGATTATGTGCTGTGAGTTTATTTTCCTCTGTTAGGTAGCTTCTTAGTAAGGCCAACTTCACTAAGCAGTTAATTATATAATTATATGATTAATTTACTCATTCTCTCCCTTGCCCAAATTATCACTGTGTGATTCTAAATCTTATTTCCAGACCTTAATTATAATTTACCTTCCCCTAGTTTAGAGTCAGAAACTTTTCCCCAAGGGCTCCCTAGATGGCAAATTGCCATTTAAAGACCTTTATTACATTATTTTTTATACTAATAACATTCATTTGTTTTTTCTATACACCAGTTGTAGCCATGTTATAATCAACAGTTATAGTTACATACACAGACTATACATTGTGATAAGACTCAAGTTTCACAAGACCCCTACAAGCTACATCACCCCCCACCCATTTAGGGTTGCCAGATAACATATAGTTTGCACAGATAAATTTGAATTTCAGATAAACAATAAATAATATTTTAATACAAGTCCTGTGCAACATTGGGGATTTAATTATTGCATGGGGCATAATATTACATAGGGCATATTTATACTAAAAAATTAGTATTTATCTGGAATCCAACTTTAACTGGGCATCCTATATTTTTATTTGATAAATTTGGCAATCTGCCCCCTACTTTTTGGTTAAGAAAACTGAGCCTCCAGGAAGTAAGTAACTTGACCAAAGCTAACTGCTGATAAGCAGTGTTGTCGAGCTCTGAACCCCAGACCCTCTGAACCCCTTTCCCTCCATACCACATTGCCCCATCCTTGTTGTCCAGGGAGTCTCCTCGTCTGCCAGCTGCTACCTTCCTCAGGTAAAATAATCCTTGCCACTGTTCCCAGCTAAATAAAAGAACAGCTTTTCTTCTCAGCCAAGAAGGATTCACTAAAAGGTGAATTCCCATGACTAAGTTTCCCAAATCTGTCTTCCTTGCCAATTTACCATTTTTTTTTTTTGAAAAACAATGAAAACCTCTTCCATTTTTTCACACTGCTATGTTCTTTTGGCTTAAATTACTGAAATACAATGCAGTAATTTAAATCTAAACATAAAAAACAAAATAAAATGGTAATGTTACTGCACTACAAGCACATTATATGTTTAGTACTTCTTTTTGTTGTTGGGTTTTTCTAGCCATATCTTCCAATATTTGAATGACAGTAGATCTAATCACCTTGCATCCCACTGCAAGATTCCACTGCAAGTTCTATTGTCCTATGGTGGGACTGCAACAGGACTCCCCACAAAGTCAAGGTTAGTCCCTAGCAGAAAAAAATTAGCAACAAAGGAATGTTTAAAGAAGTTTATACATGTAAAATGCTTAGAACAATGCTAGGTAAATAGTAAGTGCTCAGAAGATATGAGCTAGTGTTATTATTAACACCTGGGGACATTATTGATGGTCAGATGAGGAAGTGGCTTTGTACATAACAAGCCCTAAATGATACAGAATGAGAGAGAAGGAATGGTGGTGCCCAGAGAAATACAAGATAGGACCAGGAGAGAATGGAAAAAGTCCATGCATTTGTTTAACAACCAGGTAGTGTGCTATGTGCCAGTCTTGAAGGGCTGGGGAGCCCAGTGACAGAGGAAGGTCTTTATAGTGTGATACTTGTGCAATAAGAGAGTGATGCCCACAGCAGCGTGGGAGCACAGACAATGGGAACCAGTCTAGGAAATCAAAGTGGGGTCAGGGGACACCTCAGAGGACTTGTACAGGGCCAGTAATTGCTGCCCAGGCTAAGGCTGAGAAGATGGCACATTCCAGGTAGAAAAGGCAACAACAAGCAAATGCACAGACTTAAAACAACAAAGTATGTGCAGAGGAGGTGGAAGCAATGCAGTTACTTTCTCCCTTGGAAAACCAGCTAATTACTGAGCAATTTATAGTTACTAGAATGACAGGCAACCCATCTGTGGTTCTCTGCAGAAGGAAGACCAAATGGAGGACTTCTCCCCATCTTCAGCCACCATGAGCAAGACAGTGGACACCATGGGCAGAAAGAGGTGGTGACATAGAGAAAGGTTTGTCAGCCTCATACAATGACCACTGAAGAGCTGTTACATGTTGTTATCTTAATTAACTTTACTAACATCACTTGCAACTAAGAGTTCTTACCAATACATGAGGCTTTCACATTAATCCTTATAAGCACACAACAACATAGATTTTATTATTCCCATCTTACATATGAGGAAACTGATTTCCAAAGCAATTAAATAATTTTCTCAAGATCAAATAGCCAGTAACAGGAAGAGTAGGAACTGAACTTCAATGCCATGCATTATTTTATTCTTCCTTCCTTTCCACCTCTTTAATTAAAGCACAGTCTTCAAGACCCTGATTAAATCCTACCTCCTCTGCAAAGCTTTCTCTGGCCTACCCCATAGCACATGACACAGAGCCTTTCATATACCAAGCAGTCAATAATAGATGATGATTGGCAAAGATGATAAGGTAGCAATTATCACTGTGTGAGTGTCTTGTGACCACTAGGTAAAGGAGTGATCACAGGGATCTGAACTCAGGAAAGAAGCTTAGGAAGAGCTAAACTTTGAGCCAGGTCTCGAAGAAATTGCTAGCTATGAGTTGATAGAAGCATGTGAGGTAGGAAATAGAACATCCCACAGGTGATGGGGAAGTAATAATTTGTATAAAGACACAGAAGCAAAGTAAAACAAAACTACACCTACTTTCCAGGTCTCTGACTTTAATATTATGTTTTGGCAAATCCTTTATAATTAGAGATTGTCTTAGTTCATTTGTGCTACTATAACAAAATACCTGAGACTGGGTAATTTATAAACAATGAAGATTTATTTCTCACAGTTTGGGAGACTGGGAAGTCCAAGATCAAGGTGCTGGCATGTTTAGTGGGTAGTGAGGGCCTAGTCTCTGCTTCTAAGAAGGCACCTTGAATGCTGCATCCTCACACGGCAAATGAGCAGAGGAGAACAAACCCACTGCCTCTCGTTCTTTTATAAGGGTCCTAATCCCATCTGTGAGGGCTCTACTCTCATCCAGTCCCCTCCTCTTAACACTTTCACATTGGTGATTAATTTTCAACATCTGAATTTGGGGGAACATGTTCAGCTACAGCAGAAAGAAACAGGAATTCTAGTCAAACCATGTCTTCCTGTACTTGCTTCTTTATTACATTCCTATTTGGAGTGCCTCTTATGGGCAAAGCTGAGCCAGACGTCGACCTTCCCTCACAGACCTGGTCTCTAGGAGCGGAAGGCCTACACGGAAATATCTGCAATAAAAGTTACAGAGTGGAAGCAGCCAGAGACAAGGTATGGGCTGGGACCAGTGTTCATCTCTTCAAGGTGGGAATCGTTGTGATGCCTTCCTGAAAGCAGCGGTGTTGCTGCTGGGTTTTCAAGGGTAAGATGTTCAGGGACTGGGATGGGTTCCAGGCCATTCCAGACAGAGGAAACCAGTATGAACAGACGTAAAGGTGGGGAAGTTCAAGGTCCAGCAGAGAAGAGTAATGAGTTTGGTTTTACTGCAACATTTACATATAAAAAGAGTGGGAAGCCAGGTGTGATGGCTCACACCTGTAATCCAAAATACTCAGGAGGCAGAGGCAGGAGGATCAATTGGGTCCAGGAGTTCTCAGCCTGGGCAACATAGTGAGACTCTGTCTCTTAAAAAATAAAATTATTAAAAAAAATAAAAGAGTGGGAAATTAAGTTGCAAACATGGATGCAGCCAGGTCACAGAGTGGAAAGAATCTAGAAATCTGAATTTCTAAAAGAGAATTTCAATTCTGCCACTACTGCCCATGTGACCTTGGACAAATTACTTAAATCCCCTGAGCCTCAGTTGCTTCCTAAGTGAAGTAGGACCAGACAGATGGGTCTTCAGGCATACAATAATGTGGTGCCCATTCAGTCAGTTAATAAATTAACTATTTATTCAATTTTTCACAGGAGAGGTTGAGCACTGAGCCAGGCAACGCCCCCCAGCCTTTCCTGTGCTATCCCAAGCAGCTTCAATATTCCACCCAGCCAAACATGGCCCTAGAGTTAGCCGGAGCCCTCTCCTCTCTTTGGAACTGGAGGCAGAACCTTTTAATGGGAGTTCCTGGCAAATTCGATTTTTAATGATGTCTTGGTGTCCTTTATAGGTGGTGACTTTGAACTTCTGCCCTTCTGGCCTGCCACTTGGCTCAGCGCAGAGTCACGTGAGGATTAAGGGTGTTCCTGACAGAGAGCTCCATAAGCACAGCTGTTATGTGCGACTGCAGATGAAGGAGGAAGAGCTGGGACCATGGAGACTGGCTACAGGGTGATTTAGTAAGATTATTTCATAATCCGAGAAAAGCATCTAAAGGCCTGAAATAAGAGAAAGGCACTGGGAAGTGGGAAGAAAGGATAGACTTAAAAGCTTACATGGAAATGGAATCCCTGGGACTTAGAGAATAATTGGTGTGTGAGATGAGATAAAGGATGGGGCTCTAATCTGGCTCTAGGAGGGTGGGAACGCCACGGACACTAGTGAAGGGGGAAGAGGAGCAGGTCTGGAAGTCAACGAACCCGCTTGGGACACATCCAGTCTGAGAGGCCAGCAACAGGACAACCAGACAGAAAACAGCACCCGCAGCTAAAAATTCAGTCCTGTTAAAGGGAGAAATGAGATACAGTAAATGGCTAGTGCACACACGCCTGCGTGTGCCCCGGGCGGGCCTGTGGACCAGCAGCAAGCAGTCCAAGCCTGGACGCTGTGACCAAACCACGGACTGTTCCCACGTTCCAAACAGTTTTGTTCGCTTCTCTGTTGAAGTCACTCTTCATAAATCTCTTGAAGAATTTTTCACACTTTCTGACTCTCAGTCATATGGGAATGGCAGGCAGAATAATGGCCCCCAGAAGGTGTCCCTGCTCCTGGGGCAAGAGAACCGTCTCTCCCCTGTCGAGGTTTGATATTTGAGTGTGAGATATGAACTGACAAGAGACAGATTAACAGAAGAAAAGGCATATAAATGTATTATGTGCACAGGGGTATCACAGGAAAGTGAATACCCAACAACCCAGTGAAATGTAGAAGCTTATATACTCTTCTTCATAGGGGAGGTGGAAGTGGGGGCCATAGGCATTTTAGAGGAAGAATGAATGTTTTCTAGGGAAGATGAATGAACCCAAAGAACAGACAGTAACCTAGGGCAAAGTTCCTCTGGGCTCTGGGCATGACGTCAACTCTACTCAGCCATCCCAGTTTGATAAGATTACAGGGAGGGGCTGTAATCTCAGCTTCCTTAGGCAGGGACTGGAATTCCAGAGAAGCCCTCCCTGTGCTTTGGGACAGGCAGGGGGCAAGAGACAGGGGCAGAAGAAGGCCAGAGAGACCTAGGCTCTGAGGTTGCTCCTTTAGTTCAAAATACTCAGCATGTGAAAGTGCCACTTTGGGGTATTATTTTCTGAGCCCCAATATCCTAATCCCCAGAACCTGTGAATGTGCTGATTTATATGGCAAAGAGGACTTTGCAATATGATTAGATTAGGGATTTTTAAAAAGGGAGATTATTCTAGATTATTCCAGTGGGCCCCTAGATTCTTAGGAGAAGAATGCAAGGGAGCCAGAGAGAGAGATTGGAAGATGCTATCCTGCTGGCTTTAAAGATTAAGAAAGAGGCCATAAGCCAAAGATGCTGGCAGCTTCTAGAAGCTAGAAAAGGCAAGTAAACAGGCTCCCCTAGAGCCTACAGAAGGAACACAGCTCTCCTGAAAGCTTAATTTTAGCCCAGTGAAACCCAATTGGACTTCTGGCCTTCAGAACTATATGATAATAAATTTGTACTGTTTAAGCCACTACATTTGTAGAAATTTGTTATATTAGCAGCAATAGAAAACTAATACAACAGCTGTAGTGAATGGCCTAAGTCTCAGTCAATTGATTAGCATTTGAAAAATTGAAGGTTGTAGACAGATAACCTTTGAGAAGAACTGATGGTTGGCACAGCTGTGGTTCTAAACCAACCGCGATTTTGCCCTACCATCTCTAGGGGATATTTGATAATGTCTGGAGACATTTTTGATTGTTACACTGGGGGTTGGTGCTACTGGTATCTAGTGGGTAGAGGCCAGGATGCTGCTGAACATCCCACAATGCACGGGAGAGCCCTCTACAACAAAGAATTATCTAGTCCAAAACTTCAACAGTGTCAAAGTTGAGAAACCCTGTCTTACAGGTTCCGAGCAAGTTTAAAAACCACAGTGACACTGTAAAGAATGTCATGGGGGAAAAAGAGACAAGAGACTATTCTACCCCTTGTGAAGTCATTTTGACAGAAAAATGGAACCTGAATCTGATCAAGCCCCTAGATCCAATGAGAGAGACAGAGCAGGGACCCCTTTTGGGAGCCTGCTGGGCCCCGCAAGCATGGAAATAAAGGAAAAATCTTGAGTCCCTTCAAGGGAAATTCCAGTCCACTAGCCAGCCATAAAAACTAAATGAGCAACCTGATCGGCAAAAATATACTAACAATAGTCTCCCAGGCAAGCCAGAGTCATGAGGTGTTTTTGTTCTCTATAGAACTAAAAGATAACATCTGAACATATATTCTTGAGTTGTTTTTCAGAAACTCCCACCAGATGGAAAATGCCAACCACGATCATATAGGCTTCAGATTAGGAGGAACTAAGGACTGAACTCTGACCACTATTACTTGTTCTAAATTTCCTCCTGAGGGGCCTGGAAAGAGTCACGCCCACAGGCCAAACCTCAACCTTCCTTCCCACTGACCCTAGTTTATAGACAAGGCCTTGCTTCCTCAAACAATGCTAATCAAAGAATCTCTGAATCCACCTATGACCTATAAGCCCCCACTTCAAAATGTCCTTTTTGGACCAAACCAATGTACAACCTCCATATATTGATTTACAATTTTGTCTGCAACTTCTGTTTTCCTGAAATGAACCTCTGCCTTTAAAAATCCTTACTTGTAAGCCATTGGAGAGTTCAACTCTTAAGTGTTCTCTCTTTGTTCTCCTAGCTACACACCATTCAATGAAAGCCTTTTTCTCTTGCTGCAAATCACAGCATCAGTGTCTAGCTTTACTGCAATAGGATATATATTATATAGCCTATGCTTGCTCCTTGACTACAAACCTGTCCAGCATGTTACTGTACTGAATACTGTAGGTGAGTGTAACACAAGGCTGTTTGTGTATCTAAACATATCTAAACAGAGAAAAGGTCATGTGTTGTGCTACAACATTATAATGGCTACCCCACTAGGCAATAAATATTTTTCAGGGCCAGGCGTGGTGGCTGACGCCTGTAATCCTAGCACTCTGGGAGGCCAAGGGGGGTAAATCGTTTAAGCTCAGGAGTTCCAGACCAGCCTGAGCAAGAGCCAGACCCCGTCTCTACTAAAAAAAAAAATAGAAAGAAATTAACTGGATAACTAAAAATATATAGAAAAAATTAGCCAGGCATGGTGGCACATGCCTGTAGTCCCACCTACCCGGGATGCTGAGGCAGGAGGATTGCTTGAGCCCAGAAGTTTGAGATTGCTGTGAGCTAGGCTGATGTCACAGCACTCTAGCCCGGGCAACAAGTGAGACTCTATCTCAGGGAAAAAAATAATAATTTTTCAGATCCATTATAATCTTATGGAGGCCAGGCATGGTGGCTCACACCTGTAATCCTAGCACTCTGGGAGGCAGAGGCGGGAGGACTGCTTGAGCTCAGTTCGAGACTAGCCTGAGCAAGAACGAGAGCCCTGTCTCTATTATAAGTAGAAAGAAATTAGCCAAACAAATAAAAATAGAAAAAATTAGCCAGGCATTGTGCCACATGCCTGTAATCCCAGCTACTTGGGAGGCTGAGGCAGGAAGATTGCTCAAGCCCAGGAGTTTGAGGTTGCTGTGAGCTAGGCTGACGCCACAGCACTCTAACCCAGGCAAGAGAGTGAGATTCTGTCTCAAAAAAATAAAAATCAAAATTCAAATTAAAAAACAAGATAAATATAATGTTATGGACTACTGTCCTACATATCTGCAGTCCCCAACCCCTGGGCCACAGACAAGGCCACAGAGGTCCACCGCTCCCCCTTCCCCACCCTCCATGTCCCCCCACCCAGCCTGTGGAAAAATTGTCTTCCAGGAAACTCAGGAGCCCGAGGGGGCTGCACAGCAGGAAGAGAGCAGCAACAAGTAAGTGAAGCTTCATCTGTATTTACAGCCGCTCCCCACTGCCTGCATCCCTGCCTGACCTCCACCTTCTGCACCCCTTTCATGGAAAAAGTTGTCTTCTATGAAACCGGTCCCTGGTGCCAAAAGGTTGGGGACCACTGCTATGTGGTCCATCACTGACCAAAACATCTTTATGTAGCACACAACTATGCTAATTTATAGGAAACAGAGGATAAAGGGCACTGTTACATGGCACCACAGGAACCCAATGGCAAGATCTACAGGCCAAAGTACAGTTTTTCAGTAGATTGCAAGGATAACAAAACAGAAAAGGATATGGAGAGAGAATCCATGGAATAAAAAAGACTACGATACAAAGTAACCAGTTATAATATGTATGTCTAATTTGTATCTTATCTTTTCCTTTTTTCTTATTTTAATAGATCTTAGGGGTACAAGTTGAATTCCCTTTCATGTATACATTGTAAAGTGGTGAAGTCTGGGTGATCTGTATCTTAATTCAAACAAAAAGCTATACAAAATGCACATACGCATTTATGAGACAATTGGAAATTTAAATACTGACTAGATAGTTTATACTAGTAAAGAATTCTTGCCAATGTTAGGTGAATTTATTGTCTTGTGGTTACTTTTTTAAAGGAGTCCTTAGCTATTAGAAGTACATATTGAAATATTTACAGATAAAAACAATATATAAAATTTACTCCCAAATAATACAGGAGAAGGGATGTGTGTGAAACAAGATCAGGCCATGAGCTGATAATTGTTGAAACTGGACAAAGGGCACATAGAAATTTATTAGACTATTCTCTTGACTTTTATGCATGCTTAAATTTTTCCACATTAAAATATTTTTTAAAAGATTCTTACGAAAATATCTAATTTCTATGAAAAATGCCTATTTTTCAGTAAGAGGGGGAATAATGGTCTTCTCCTTTCCTATATTTCCTCATCTCTCTAAATGATCTGTTTATATTTGTCATGCTTAGCAATGTGCTCCCAACCACAACAGACAAGAAAAAGTACCCAGAATTCCCTTACCATCTGCTGAGTGCTAAATAGAGTTCTAGTATAAAATGTGTGGCATTCACTTGTGAAGAGAGAGAAGCTGAGAGGGGCCTGTCCTTTGTTAGACTCTGCTCACGCTCCGTGGCGCTTGGATACAAAAGCCCAGGGAGGAATCTCATCAAAAGATGGAGACCCAGGACTTTGCACAGGCTATGCCACAACCTCCACCAGCTGTGAGGGAAAAGATCATGTGTGCATTCGCCTTTGAACCACCTGCACCCAGCACTGTGCCTGTCACATGGTGGGCACTCTAGACATGTTTGAGAAAAGAGGCAGGAAGTTGACTTAGTGGGTTTAGCTTTTAAGTGGGCATGAATAAAATGTTTTATGGAACTTTTGCAATATCCTCTGACCCTCATATATCTTTGTTGCAGAAGGAAATCTTTTTAAAGTGAGAATGTAACCACCACAACCCCTTAAAGCAGTGGTCCCCAACCTTTTTGGCACCAGGGACTGGTTTCATGAAGACAATTTTTCCACAGACCGGGGGTGGGGGGAATGGTTTTGAGATGATTCAAGCACATCACATTTACTGTGCAGTCAAACCTCTCTGCAAATGATCATCTGTACTTGCAGCTGCTCCCCAGCACTAGCATCGCCGCCTCAGCGCCACCTCAGGTCATCAGGCATTAGATTCTCATAAGGAGCACGCGGCCTACATCCTCACATGGGCATTTACAGTGGGGTTCGAGCTCCTGTGAGAACCCAGTGCCGCAGCTGATCTGACAGGAGGCGGGGCTTACACAGCGTGTGATGCCTGGATCGGGAGCGGCTGTAAATACAGACGAAGGGTTGCTTGCTGCCACCACTCACCTCCTGCTGTGCAGCCAGTCCCTAGCAGGCCAAGGACTGGTGCCAGTCCACAGCCAGGGGTCGTGGACAGCAGCCTTAAAGTGATATAGTAGGGGCTCTCTGTCTTAGCAAGAACTTTTGGGACATGCTGGGCTGCAGCCATCAGCTGTTGCTTTGTAATACAAGCCCTATAACAGCTACTCCTCACAGAGCCCACTCAAGTGTTACATTTTATTTTTAACCCTTATCAGTCCTTGAGACAGAACCGGCAGGACCTTTCCTACAGCCACTGAGTCAAACCCTGGCCAGCTCCTCCCTGCCTGCTCCCCACTGCTTTCAGCTTTAAAAGGCAGTGGAACCACCTCTGTAATGGAAGGAACACAGGGTCAAGGGGTTCAAGGACACAGACGGTTGCCTGGGAATCTATTACAATCACCACGCAACCCTGAGGAAAGGCAGCCATGCAGTTTTGAATGGTCTTTATTTACCCAGCCAGGCAGCTAACCTACATTTTGTTTCATTTTGAGTGCACGGAATTCACAACAGCTATCTTAGCTCACTCCTGTTGCTCAGCAATGTTTTTTCATGTTTGCATGTTTAATGTAAATACATTTTATAATATAAAGTCTTCCATCTTCTCTATATCAAGAGATATTATGAACTTGTTCATATAGTTGAGACGACAAACATTAAATAGCCTTGTGGGTTAGGAGAGGGCATACCAGGCGGAACTCTTAGCAAAGTAAAGAAAAAGTATTATGGGTGAAGGGTTGTAACAGGGATTTCATTGAGTTTAGTTGCTTTCTTTATTGTTGCTTGTTAAGGAGAATTAACTTAGTATTCAAATTCCCTAACAGAGTCTTTGAAAAAGTGTGTGCATAGCAAACAGGATTCCATTTAAATGGACACATTAGTATGAAGAGACTAGAGAGTTCTTCACTGCAGGAACTAATGTCACACTTTGCATGTACAAATAATTGTATTAAGTGACAGGCAATTCTACCATTTATATAATTTGTTATGTATGTCAGGTGTAACTCAGAGGCTGTGCACTTAATCCTAGAGAAACCTCGAGATAATGCACTCTTCCCCAGCGCCCATATACCCCACAAACCCCTCCATTCCCCAGATCTCAAAGCTCTGCCTGGGTTAGAATAATTGGCAGTCGGGCCTAGTCCTGTGAGGAAGCCTTTTGTAAAACAAAGATCCATTTGTAGTGTGAATAAGCGTTGCCTCCAAAGGGGTAAATTAGAATTTTGAATTTTCACCTTTTATCTTAACATTTCTTGGAATGTAGTTCAGCCAGCAATTGCTAGATCATTATTTTTCAAGTTTCCTCACTGCCATCCTTCAAAGAGCTAAAGAGCATGTTATTTGTATTATCAAATTAATATTTTATCCCTATGGGGTTTAAAGTGAATGAATCGCTGTAGATAAGTCTCCAGTTTTCTTTGGAACATTCTGAATATCTACCAATACAATCATTTATTTAAGAAAATATGCCGGTTTCCTTAACCTTCAGGTTGGGTTTGAAATCCAAAATTCCGTGGGCCCGTCCCGGTTAAGGTGTCCACGCTCCATTCTTTAGGCAGTTGCTGGGCAGTAGGCGGCGCTCTCGGCACACCGGGACGGGACGAGCTTTGCAGCGTTGGGTGGAGGCGGAGGAGGAGCCCGATGCTGCGAAGCCTTAGCCAGGAGCTTTGGGCCGCGCTGGGGCCTCCCGCCTGCAGAGAGAAACCGCTGCCTCCCATGACTTCATGGGCCCTCAGCTGCAAAGTGTCAATTAATCTGCCTTTCGTGAACCAAGTGAACCAGCTACTAAGCTTTCTCCTCAGGGGGAAGGCTGGCCACATTTTTGCCATTACTCCTGCTTTCCAAATAAAGTATTTCACCCTGGACAACTGCTGTTACCGCCCAACCAGGTTATACGGCCCCTGCACAGAAGGAAGCCAGTAAGCTGAGACAACCAGAGTTGCAGCACAGAAAGAGTTTAATATCACAGGGCACTGAGCAAGGAGACAGAGTAATTTCTCAAATCCACCTCGTGGAGCAATTTGGGGCCAGGGTTTTTAAAGATAGTTTGGCAGACACAGGGCTAGGAAATTGGATCTGTTGATTGGCTGGGGATGAACATTTTTGGCAGACACAGGGCTAGGAAATTGGATCTGTTGATTGGCTGGGGATGAACTCATAGGGTTGGGAAGCAGAACCAGTCCCAGGTGGAGAGTCACAGGACTTGTTGGGACAGTTCCTAAGCATG